GGTTGCCCACCATTGTGTTAGGCTCAAAGCCAACAGCAGTGTGTCGTATAGATTTGATACCCAGTAGGTTCCATGCTGGGCTAGTTTATATCATATAGAAAATGTAACTAGAAAATATTTTTGTAAATTGTGCAAGGTAATTTGGGGATCTGTTTTCTCTTCAGCAGGAAATGTACAACTTTTTCATGTAATATGAGTTATGTGTGGCTCTGGAAGAGAGATTATCTCTGGCCACTACATTTGTAATTATTACATTGGGTTTTAGCAGCATAATTCAAATAGGATTAATGTAACATTTTGATAATGTAGGAGGAAAAATTATTTTTAAGCAATTGAATCAGGTGCTTTCACTTGGCATTTACACATTTCTTGCCTGTGTTTTTGTTATAGTAATTGCTTATAATATTTTAAACCAGGCCATTTTAGGAGCCAAAATGTGCCTACGTAGCTTTAGTATATTCATCTTAAAAACTTTACTTAAAGATATTTTGGCTGAGCTCATTAAAGGAAATATTAATAACTTCACTGTATTATACATACTTCCCCCGTGTTATACACTTAAGATAATAAAATTACCTCGTCACATCAAATTTTAATAAATACTGTGTTAAATTATAGATTATAACCACCATGAAGCATTTATAGACAATTTATTTTATGTTGTCATTGTGGCCAGCACAGTTGTCTAGCAGCAGTGCAGTAAACTTCTATACAGCAGGTCCATGACTTTGGCTTGTTCTCTTCTTCCCTGGTTATCAGAAACTGTACATGCTGTGGAAGTAGTGAGCTCAACTCCTGCAGAGAACAGAGTGCAACGTGTCATTAGAGTAAGAACTCTGGCTGATTTGGGAGCAATGATACAGGCTAGACATAAGTGAGAGCTTCACCCAGACCTCGAAAACCTGATGATGTTCAACTACATGGGTTTAGGATGAAGGGAGAGTAAAAAGGGTGGAGGAGGAGAGACTATTCAGCATCATCAGGCTGCAAGGCGATTGGAGACATCTAGGAAGAAAGTGTGCTGTTTAGTGTTGATGGTGGAGACCCCAAGCCAAAGGTTTAAAGCTTGGATAGAGATCACCCTGTCACTCTGATGATGCCTGTTTTGAACATCATATTTCCTCAGTCCTCCTTCCGTCACATCAAAGTAGGGGGCAGGGATGCTTAGAGCTATTCCATCCTGCAGTTGACAGGAGATGCTGATACAGTGGTGAAACCAACACACATCCTGCTTTCAGAAACCAAATGCACATGTATAATTATTAAACTAAATGCCCATGTATAATTATACTAACAATTACTAGTGTTTTTCCTCCTCCCATCATATCCAGATGCAGCATTTTTATTATAATTGAACCAGTATTAAGACATATCAGCTTTATTTTTCCGTAATACAACAACAGTTAAATCATATATTTATAATTTGGGGTTTATGTCAAAGACAATCCATGTAACCCTAATAGCTCCAGTTATTAATTTCTTACAGTGTTGCCTGTAATTGCAGCTATTTACAAAGTTAATATCCTGCTCCCAGGCTTAATAGCAGTGGATACTCATATTATTCACAAATTCAGTAAAATAGCTTGAAGGATAGTGATTTCCAATATCTAATGTTTTGTATAACACAGGGTCATAGCATTCTGCCTGGAATATCAATGGGATCTCATGTCCAGTGTACCTAAGTGTGACACAGAGCCCACTGGTGATTCACTATTCTGTGTCAGCAACTCATCAGGCCTGATATACTTACTACACCTCACACACTGTTGTCATGACAAAAGGTGGCATGTAATATATCATTGTAAAACTCATAACTCACTGATCATTAATATTATTGCATGGTGTATGTACGGATAACATATGCAAAATTACAAATGTGCTGAAATGTTTGGCAAGCAATGCATAAGTCCAGTCTGTCCTATATAAAGGAATGTGTATTTGTTTATCTGACCAGTTTGGTCATCAGGCAGAGACAATGAAGGTATATTTACATAAAAGATAAATCAAGCCCTCAGCATAGCGAGAGGAAGAAACAGCCTCTTGCAAGGATCGGAACCTCAAATGATAAGCAATTTAAGCCACTGATTGTACATAATATTACTATATTACACAAATGTATCAAGTAGTGTCTTTTATGAAAGCCTGTGACACACTGGTGATTAATATTATTGTGAAAAGTATGTATTAGCACTATATGAGGAATTAGGAATACTCACTGATATTATGCTTTAAACTCTGTGATCAAAAACAGAGAGAAACAGGAGGGAAGGTAGCATTGTGGAATCAAAACAATGGAAGCCCCATTTACATACAAATCACCAAGGAGATAGGCAGTCCACAGGAAAGGAAGAACAGTAGGAGGTCATTCTGCCTCTTGGAACAGGACCAATGAACTCTGAGAGATATAAAGGGAAACAGAGAGCCATTTTGGCAACTAGGACAGTGGTCACCAACTGGTAGATCGCGAACAACTGGTCGATCATGGAGCCTCTGTCAGACGATCGCAGTCTCCGGCTGCTAAAAGTCCAGCGGCACAATGGGGTTAAGGCAGGCTCTCTGCCTGCCCTGGCTCCGTGCCATTCCCGGAAGCGGCCAGCACATCCCTGCGGCCCCTGGGGATGGGGTCAGAGGGTCTCCATGCACTGCTCCTGCCTGAAGGCACCGCCTCCACAACTCCCATTGGCCAGGAACGGGGAACTGCGGCCAATGGGAGCTGCGGGGATGGTGCCTGCAGGGAAGGGCAGTGCGCAGAGCCACGTGCCCCACCCCCAGGGGCCAAAGGGACATTCAGGCCACTTCCAGGAGTGGCACAGGGCCGGGACAGGCAGGGAGCCTGCATTCGCCCCACTGCACCGCTACCTGGCAGACGCCTGAGGTAAGCACTGTTGGGCGGGAGCTTGCACCCCTCACCCCCTCCCGCACCCCAACCCCCTGCCCCAGCCCTGAGCCCTCTCCCAAAGCCAGCACCCTGTATCCCCTCCTACACCCTGAACCCCGTCCTGTACCCCAGCCCCCTAGCCCCAGCCTTTACCCCTCTCCTGGAGCCAGCACCCCATACCCCCTCCTGCACCCCAACACTCTGCCCCAGCCCGGAGCCCACTCCTGCACCCAAACTCCCTCCCAGAGCCTGCACTCTGCACCCCCCCTGCCACCCAACACTCTGCCCCAGCCCTGAGCCCCCTCCTGCACCCAAACTCAGTGCCCAGTGAAAGTGAGTGAGGGTGGGGGAGAGCGAGCGATGGAGGGAAGGGGGATTGAGTGAGCAGGGCAGGGCCTCAGGAAGGGGCGGGGCCTTGGGGAAGGGGTGAGGTAGATCCTGGGTTGCACTTAAATTCAAAAAGTGATCTTGTGCTTAAAAAGATTGGAGACCACTGACCTAGGAAGAGAAGGGAAAGCAGCACTTTGTACTTCTGTGGAAGGTCCTGACTGACAGAAAATCAGCCATGGCTGGGAAAAAGAAAGATTGGTAAGAAATCTATCTTGAACAAAGCCTGTAGCTTGTTAAGTTAGCCTTAGGTACTAGAAAGCATATTTTACTTTTATTTGCTTATAACCATTTTTGTCTTTATCCCTTGTACATGAACTCACTTAAAACCTATATTTCTGTTAATACATTTGTTTTACTTTGAATCAAAGCCACCCCAGTGCTGTGTTTGAATTGCATTGATTGTGTACTCCAGTTAAAATAATAGATTGTGCTTTTGTGTCTTTAAAGGAGCAGCAAAACTTCTTATTTCTCTGACTGCTTCAGGAGAGGTCTGGACACTTCATGGCATATGGTTTTGAGGAAATTTGGGACTGGGAGTACGTTGGGGGTCACCCAACAAGTAGTAACCAAGGATGGTGGGAGTCAGGGTGGGGTTGTTGTGGGGTCAGAAGTGCTGAACCAAGGCTGCACAGCACACAGACACTCAGGGTATGGCTACACTTGCAGCTGTACAGTGCTGTGAGGTAAACCTGTCTTCGTACAGCGGAGTAGAGAAAGCGCTGCAGTCTGTCCACACTGACAGCTGACAGCGCACTGTCGTGGCCACATTTGCGGCACTTGCAGCAACTCTGGTAACTCTGGGTAACGTGCAGGAAATAGTGGATGGCTTTGCACAAATGGGTTTCCCTAACTACAGAGGGGTGATAGCTGGCACACATATTCCTATTCTGGCACCACCCCACCTAGCATCTGAGTACGTTAATTGGAAGCGATATTTCTCTATGGTTCTCCAAGCGCTTTGGATCACCGTGGGCATTTCATTGACATTAACACAGGCTGGCCCAGAAAGGTGCATGATGCATGCATCTTTTGGAACACTGGCCTGTTCAGGAAGCTGCAGGCCGGGACTTTTTTCCCAGAGCGGAAGATCACGGTAGGGGAAGTCGAAATGCCCATTGTGATCCTTGGAGACCCCGCTTACCCGTTAATGCCGTGGCTCATGAAACCCTACACAGGGAGCCTTGACAGCAGCAAGGAACGGTACAACTACAGGCTGAGCCAGTGCCGAATGACCATGGAGTGTGCTTTTGGCCTGTTTAAAGGGCCGCTGGCAATCTCTGTATGGGAAGCTGGACTTGGCCGAAAACAGCATCCCCGCGGTTATATTCGCGTGCTGTACCCTCCATAATATTTGTGAAGGGAAGGGTGAAAGATTCAGTCAGGCATGGACCTCCGATGTTCAACACCTGGAGGCTGAATTTGCACAGCCAGAGAGCAGGGCTATTAGGGGGTCCAGCACAGGGCTACAAGGATTAGGGATGCCTTGAGGGAGCAATTTGAGGCTGAAAACCAGCAGTAATGTCTGGTGCTCTGCACGGGAGTGAAGTGCAGTGGTTACAATGTCAGAAGGAATCTGTGTTTGCTAAGCTGATTTTCAGTGCCTGTTTCTTTCCTGGGCTAAGGTATCTTTTACTTTATGCAATAATAAAGAACGTTTTCAAAGCCAAAAAATCCATTTATTGAAAAGAAAATTAATTTATTGAAAGAAACACAACTGTTTGGGAATCAGAAAGGGCAAGGACGTGGGGTGGGGAACGGTACAATCATAGATTTGTGCTGTGCAGTGAGTGCTGCACTTCAGGATGGCTATACTGCATGGTGATGGGGATTGAGTGCAGAGGGTAAGGGTCGTAGTTCTCAGGTCTGGTTGGTGAAGGGTGTTGGAGGCAGCTGGTGGCGGTAAGAACTCAGATGTTGGAGAAAATGGGTTGGAGGTGACATGGGGGCACAAGGGAAAGAGTTTTGGGACAAGGGTTGCAGGGGGGGCGGGCGCGGTAGTGCTCCGCCTGCATGGCTATGAGCGCCTGGATAGAGTCTGCTTGGCGCTCCATGATGCTTATCAGCCGATCCGTGCTTTGCTTCCAGTGCGCTGCATTTTCCTTGTGGATCCTGCTTTCGCTCTCCCTCCACTCCTGTGCTTTTTGATTCTCTGTAAGAGATTGATGCATCACTTCGTGCAGCATGTCTTCTTCGCTTTTTCGCGATCTCTTCCAGAGTTTTTGCAGTCTCTCAACCGGTGATAACACGGACAGCTGAGATCTCAAGGTTGCGTCTGTAAAGGCAAAATGCAACACTTAACAGAGGCAGCATTGTTTATACCAGACAGAGTAATGATTCCCCCGCACTTAAGGAGGGCACACACAGTCTACACAATAGCATAATTTTCCTATCCCAAAGAGAGTGCACATAACCCACGGGAGCCCCAAAATGGTGAGTAAGAGGGACTGATTGTTTCAGGCCTGTACTGTCCTCTGGGTTTCTGTGCCTTGGGGCGAGCCAACAGCTGCAGGGGGCACCTACACTGAACACTGTCCCAACATTTTTCACAGGAGTTTATCCTGGAAAATATCTCGCTGCTGAGGGTGACCTGGGAAGCAAGGGAGGGTCTTCTACTGCAATCCGGCTTCCACCCTGGCCCATATACAGCTTGCCTGTGTGCAGCTGTAGCCGTGGAGATACAGCGCTGTACGTGCCTTGCCAGTGTGGACGGGGAGTGAGTTACAGCGCTGTGGGTAGCTTTATTGCACTGTAACTCTCAAGTGTAGCCAAGGCCTCAGGGAACTGCATGCTTGTCTGCTGGCTGTTGGTGTTCTGGCTGTGAGCCACATTTGCATAACATTTAAGGCAGTCAGGGTTACAGGGCAGACAGTGACACAACCCCTTATTGGTCTGGGTTAAACCCCAGAATGTCATACCACATTAGTGCCTTCGAGTCAGATTCTAACACCCTTACTCATGTTGGGTAGCAAATTCCTCCATGAGTAGTCCCAATGATTTCAACAGGATATTTGTGGAGCATGGTGTGACACTGGCAGACCAGGTGCCAGCTCATGCCAAAGCCCAGGGCCTCATTGAACACTGACAAATGCATAGCTGGAAACCAGTCAGGCTCACTTGTGTGTTAGCTCTGGTAAAACAGATATTACGTTTATAAGAATGTGTTTAGTGCTTGGATTTTATGAAATGCTTGAGAGTTGCTACATGCATTAATTTCGTCCCATCACAATTTAACCTCTGGGGGAAGGGAATAAAAATCCCTGACCAGGAGGAACTGTATCACTATGCTGCTTGGAATTTGGAGTGGGAAATGTTTCTAAGCTTAAGCAAGGGATCCCCAAGCTGCTTACTTTGGTTAACCCTAAAGGACATATAAAGTTTGCACATTACTGCAGCTTCTTTTACTTTTTGGAACCTAACACTAGCTCATTTGTATGTTTACATCATTCAATCTTGTAAATGACTCTCTTATTTCTTTTTCCTAGTTTATAAATCCTTAGTGTATTACAGGATTGGCTACAAGCATTGTCTTTGGACCTGGAGTAAGTGACTGGGCCTTTGGGACTAGGAGTAGCCTGAATATTGTTGTGATTTTTGGTGTAAGGGACCATCTGTCACAAAGGCAGGCTTGTCTGCGTGGCGCGATAGATCGGAGTACCCAAGGGGACTGTCTGTGACTCCATGTTAAGGCTATTATAGTGTTTGAGAAGTTCACACATGATACTTGTGTGATTAATTATAGAACACACAGTAAGTTTGGCATTTGTGCCCTTGTTTGTAACAGTCTGCCCTGAGGTTGGCATCCATATTTGGGAGCCACTTGAGACAGCCTGAACTATGGTACTATTCAGCATGAATAAGGGTATGACAGGTTTCCCTCGGGGTGCTGCTTGGAACTGGGATACCACTGAGCCCCCCTGACCCACCAGCCTGGGCTCTCTTCACACTGTATTGCTGAGGCAAGCCAGCTAAGCCCTCCCTCAGGCTTCAGACTGCACTTAATCAGCACGCACACACAGGTAGGGACACACCCAGCTGCAGAAACAAACACAGAAAATGAAGTCAGCTCTGCATGGGAAGGCTCAGCTAAGGATTTGCCCAGTACTCAAGTGCACGCCCCCATCTAGAGGATAAACCCAAAATTATACTGTCTTGCGCTGCACAGAGAACTGTACAGCATAAGATCATGAAATTCGCCCCTCCCTCAATGTGGAGAGAGACATGCAACAGTTTTTTGCCCCCCAGTTATGAATTCAACACACTGGGTGTTAACCAAAACAAAAACAAGTGTATTAATTACAAAAGATAGATTTAAGTGATTATAAGGGATAGCAAACAGATCAAAGCAGGTTACCCAGCAAATAAAACAAAAATGCAATCTAAGCTTAAGTTACTAAAGGAAGTGAGTTTTTTTACCCACAAAAGCTTATGCCCTAATAAATCTGTTAGTCTTTAAGGTGCCACCGGACTCCTTGTTGGTTACAAGTAGTAATTTCTCACCCTAAATGTTGTTTCAGGCAGATTGCAGAGATTCTGGAAGGCCAGCTGCACTTGACTGCAGCTTAAACTTCAGATATCTAATCCACAGGCGAGACAACCTCCCATCCTGGGCTCAGTCCTTCTCCACCCATCCCTCCATTCAGTCTTAGTCTTAGATGTTTAGAGCAGTCATCTTGGGTGGAGAGTTAGTGAAGAACGAACCATGACTATGTCACTCCCCTGCCTTAAATAGGTTTTACATATGACAGGACTCCTTTGTCTTCCAGTGTGATTCCCACCCCCGGCTAGTGCAAAAATACTAATATTATTATGGTGTCCATTATCAGGTGACTTGATCACATGACCCTGCAGCCATAACTCAGAGCCTGTTTGCAGTGTCCCCAGGAAGGCTTTCTGGGTGAAAGATTAGCCTCTTCTAAGACCTATTGTTTTTCCTAATGGCCCTTTCCAGCTAGCAATCTAGACTGATTGCATTCTGTCTAGTGGGCATTCCCTAGGTGTAAACAAATTTCTAATAGATGGCTAGACAATATTGCTAACTTCAGATACCAAAATGATACATGCTTACAAAAAGGATAATCATATTCAGTAAATCATAACCTTTTCCAATGATATCTCACATGCCTTATATTGTATAAAATACATCATCGTTATGCCATACTCATATCATTATAATATTACTATGAAGAATATGGGGGTGTAATGCCACAGAGGGTATCAGAATCTGGCACTTAGATGTTCTTTAAAGGTCCACCTCACATAGAGGAGCACACTCCAATTAATATAGTAGCCTTTGAATGCCCTGCAGAGATGTTGAGAGGAGCAAAGCTCATTACAGTATGCATCGAAGAAAAAGAATCCAAAGATTCAAACGACAAGGCTGTCATCACTATAATTGCTAGTTCCACCTGTGTCTAGGAAATGATGCAGATACTACACTACGTTCCAGCACAACAGATTAGCTAATTAGTGCATTTTCCCCAAGAACAAACACATGGGCTCCAAGACATTTGAGCTGAAGCCAACTGGGCAAGGGCGGCTGGGATCCACATATAGAAGACTGAGATACATCACAAGAATGTTTTTCCCCCCTTTTTAATTTTGGAGAGGTGGCGATACTTATTTTTCTTTGTGTTTCTTTGTATTTTTAATTTATAGCAAAAGTGTCTAGAGCCCTATTATTGTTATTAGGTGCTTTTTATGTTGTGTATAAATCTAAATAAATGAAAATAGTGTATTTGCCCCAAGAACAATGCAGTAATTATTAAGTTAGCAAATATATATTAGTCCTCAGTTCCAGCAGCACTTACGTACATTCTGAAATTTAAGCATGTGATCAGATCAGAACTTTGGTTTTCCTGTTGTACTTGCCCAAAGCAATTATGTGAATTTTATTACAATTCTAGCTAAGTACCTGTATCCTTGGTATGTTCTTTATTGAGGTAATGTGTCTATTTCCATCACCTGGTAATTAATCTTTCATTTGTATTTACTGTGCTGTAAGTAACATCAGAAACCCTGTGTATCCTTTCTTCTGAACTGCCTCCCTGTAGAACAATGAGATAACATGGCACATTGTATTGCCATATCTTCCATTTAAAAAAATATCTCTATCTCACATATTTCAAAGACAATTACCGCATTAGTATCTAAACAGAACTACATTAAGTAACCAGCCATTCATTGGTGGTTATCCAATGTCTCAATTAGAGCTGGTTGGAAATTTTCCAATGGGACATTTTTCTGTCAGAAAACGCCAATTTGCCAAAGTCGACTTTTTCCATTGGAACATGTTGATTTCAACTAAATTCCAATAGAACTCAGGCAGGTTTCTGCCTGGTTTCCTGCCAGTTCACCCTCCCATCTCCTCAATGTCACACCTAGCAGGTGGGATGAGGGAGCTGAGAGCCTGAAAGCTCAGGAGCCCTGCCTCCCTGGATCCTAGCTCCACAACTGCCCAGCTTCCCAGGGCTTCCTGCTCCCTTTTAGCTGACTAGGCAACCTGCTGAGGAGCTGAGAGGAAGCCTCAGAAATATTTTGAAAGGGCTGAAACAAAATGTCATTTCTAAATGAAATTTTAGAACTCCCATTCCATGGGAAATTTCAAAATGTTCATTTCTTGTTCTATTTCAGAATGATTTGTTTTTCCAATTTGCAATTTGCCATGGAACAGAAATTCCAGTTCCCAGTCAGCTTTAATCTCAGTTTTGATTCAGCTGTAACTCATCCATAAAGCCAATTTATTACATAACTTTATATACCTGTTACCTGGTGAACAGAAGAGTAAAGTGACCTCTGCTTGCCCATCCCATTGCACAGTGCTCAGGAGAAAGATTATAATAATGGCTATTTGGGAGGTAAAGGGCAAAGAATGACTTTGGGAAGGTCAGGACTGGGTTGAACCCCAAGACGTTTATTTTTCTTCATAGGGTAATCTATGGGTATAGGTATTTGCTAAGTAAGGCATAAGTATAATTTAAGGCAGTAATGCAGGGAGCCTACAAGCCTCAAGGCCTATAAGACAATAGCTTAGCTAAACTGATCAAGGCATAAGGCCCAAAAAGCCTTAGCCTAGACAGCTAACCAGGAGTAACCCCAGATCACAAGATGTCACAGGATAGAATGCTATAACGACTACACTGCTGACAGGTAACCACAAGATGCCAGTTTATACCAGCTTAAGACATTTTTAAGTTAGGAACATCACCAGATGTCTGACCACAAGAATGCCATGGCAACTAATGAACATATATGCTAATGAATCTGAGGGAAAGGCCTAGTAGTCTATGGTAGAAGGGCAATCCAACATTAGTAGGGCGTGGAAGTTCAAATAAAGAAAAGGGGCTGAAACGCCTACTGAATGTGCAATAGGCATAGTGGCATCAGTGTAACACGTTATAAAAGTTGTATCCCCGCCTGCGTGCCTTGGGAGATGCCAGGATGATGACCACTGGTGGTGATGATGATGACTAACACTTCAGGTTTTTCTGCAAGGGATGGCATGAGTATACAGATGCTCACATGTTCATTTTATATTATCCTCACCTTCCTTGCTAGGTTGGAGTGTTTGTGACTTTGCTAATTGTGCTAAATAAAAATGTTATAAGGACAAAATGCCTGTCCAAAATGTAATTGTCTCCATTGTGCACGTTGGGGTTCCCAAATTAATAATAATTTTAATAACTCTGGGCCTGATCTCGGGACTAGACCTCCCAACCCATAGAATGTTAATTGGGATTTCTAATTGATCAATATAATTAATACACAATCAATAGATCAGGCAACATAGCCTGATGTATTTAGAATTATTACTGTATTTTCACTTGAGGAAAAAGACTTGCTGATTAGGTTCTTAATACTGAGAGACCATTTCCAATAGGTAAACCACTGTTTTAAATGACACTTTAAAATATCCTTAGTGATTCCAATATACCTTTATCTAACCTTTAATAAAGGCCAACTTCAACTAGACAACTGCTTTTTTGCTGGTCTCTTGGGTGGTTGCTTATGTCCGGTTTTGCTGTAATATACAAAATATTTATGAATATTAGTCACAATGCATTTCAGCTCCCACAGCCACCCATGTTTGCTTAACCTGCAGTAAAGTTCTGTCTAAATCAAAATGGGTTTACAATTAATATGTATATAAAGCTCTCAGTACAGCTGTGCAGTACGATAAGTGAACTGTGCCAAAAAAATAATAGATTCCTACCTCAAATTAGGTAGCCTATAAACCTGCCTTGGGGGTCACCTGGTTAAACACTTGCTTGTGGATTGGCTGAACCCAGGATAGCTCAGTGGTTTGAGCATTGGCCTACTAAACTCAGGGTTGTGAGCTCAATCCTTGAGGGGGCCATTTAGGGATGTGCAGCAAAAATCTGTCTGGGGATTGGTCCTGCTTTGAGCAGGGGGTTGGACTAGATGACCTCCTGAGGTCCCTTCCAACCCTGACATTCTAGGAACATGTCTATACAATGCCTACTCTATGAACCCTTAGGACTCACAGGTAATTATCTCAGATGATTCATCAGACTCAGGCTTAGGGATGACTCATCACAAGTCTAGATTTAGCCAACTTTGATTAAAACAAACACATTTTCAAGCCAGCCCACAATGACGGGGACACTTGTGATAATTAAATGTCTTTGTGTTTATGACATTACTTTCATGTGACAATGGTAAAGAATCATAGAAAGAATTGCTTTCTTCCAGCACTGATCAAGGAACTCTATTATAATAACAACAAGCTACCCTGGCTGTTTCTCACACTCTGTCTCTCTACTTCACTATAAAATTCTGCCTAGAACCTTCCCTGACTTCCTCCCACCACCAACTTTCCATTACAGATTTAAAGAAACAGTATATATCTTCACAACAACCCACTTTCCGATATTGGGCATCACATGTAGAAAGGGAACAAGCAGGACTATAACCTGGCCAAAAAATGTTTTTTAAACAAATATTACCAATAACTTGGAAACCATAGGCTAACAAGACCCAGTCATTAACATTCATTAAACACAATAAATTGAACGATCTACTAATTTAGAATTAAATAAATCCAACTATTCAACCAGGGCAAGACATAATTAAGTCCCAATGCACACTCCAATCAGTGCATTCGACCTGAATTTTGCACCACGGACTATAGAATTATGCTTTACTGCCTCTATGCCATTGGTCTAGCACACTTATTATAGTATCCTGTGGTGTTTGTTTATTTTGATATTAACCTTATTGTGTTTTACTCTGCCCCCAGAATTTCAATGTGCTGCAGATTTTCATATTGAAAATGCATAACTGTCTCACAGAAGCTAGTAGGGAAAAGATGGCGGTTTTGGCAGCTAGGTAGGGAACAGCTGGCTCTTTGGCAGCGAGAAGATCTACAAGTCAGTTTTGGTGGGATTTGAAACCCAAAAGTAGTTAAGTATTTGGTAATGGGAAGAGAGACACTTCCATTTCCCCTCCCCATTCTCCTGATTTCAGTGAAGTATCCCTATATTCATGAAGGGCACTTAAACATGTGCTTAACTTAAAGCTTAAGTGCTTTCTTGAATAGGGATGGACTTAAACATGTGCGTCATTGCTTTCCTGAATTAGGATCTTTGATAGAAGTGAAGGTCACTTTAAATTTGGGGTGGGGTATTAATTCCTCACACCTTCTCTAGCAGGTCTTGAGAGCAATTAGCCCCTTGTTCTCTGCCTCAATAGCTGGCATAAATCCAACAACAGCAGAGAACCTGGATGTGTCTGCTAAAATGATCAGCACTGAATGGTAAATGCTGACATTTTAAATTGGCATTATGAAGTTTCATTGTTAATATCTGAGATTAAAAATTAAAATAAATTAAACTAAATCCTCCTTCCCTGTATCACTAACTAGAAGAGTGTCTTGTAGCACCCTTCCAATCAGTGATCTGCCTCAGGACTCTAATTCCCAGCAGTTACCAGTACAGACTGAAGGCTGTAATAAGCTTTGTTTAAATTCATTATTCTATTACTTTTTAACAACTTTATTCTACTTTTTCACACCAGGATTCACTGTTTGTCTGGTGTCTTCCATTTAATACCTGAAATATGATACATACTCATCTTCTACAGCATTGTTTTGTGTTACAAGTTTAATTTCAGGCTATATTTTTACTTTCTTATTTGAATATTCATTGAATAAGATTATATAAGGCAATTATAATTTTTGGTGGGTGATGAATAGCTGAAGTGAAATTAGTACATTCTGCTATAAACACAAAAATTGTATCCTGTTCTACAGCAAGACAAAAAAGATTCAGCAAACCACAATAATAAAAGTTTTTTGCCTTTTAAGGTTTTGAAAACATTATGCTTGTTTGGTTGGTTTTGGTTTTTTACTTTTCACTGTTACTTTGCAGATTTGGTTTAAATTCGTAATTTTTTCCTAATGTCCAACCTAAACCTCCCTTGCTGCAGTTTAAGTCCATTGCTTCTTGTTCTATCCTTAGAGGCTAAGGCCTGGTCTACACTGGGGGGGAGGGGAGGAATCGATCTAAGATACGCAACTTCAGCTACAAGAATAGCGTAGCTGAAGTCGATGTATCTTAGATCGACTTAGAATCACTTACTTCCCGTCCTTGTGGTGCGGGATCGACGGCCGCTGCTCCCCTGTTTACTCTGCTTCTACCTCTCGCCGTGGCGAAGTTCCGGAGTCAACAGCAGAGCGATCGGGGATCGATTTATCCTACACTAGACATGATAAATCGATCCCTAATAGATCGATCACTACCCGCCGATCCGGCGGGTAGTGTAGACGTACCCTAAGATGAACAAGTTTTCTCCCCCCTCCTTATGACACCCTTTTAGATACCTGAAAACTGCTATCATGTCCCCGCTCAGTCTTCTCTTTTCCAAACTAAACAAACCCAATTCTTTCAGCCTTCCTTCATAGGTCATGTTCTCTAGCCTTTAAACATTCTTGTTGCTCTTCTCTGGACCCTCTCCAATTTCTCCACATCTTTCTTGAAATGCGGTGCCCAGAACTGGACACAATACTCCAGTTGAGGCCTAACCAGTGCAGAGTAGAGCGGAAGAATGACTTCACAGAGTTGGGAGCTTAAATTCATAACTTTGCTAAACACTAAAAATGGTGGACTCAGTAAAGACACTGGTTTTATGTCTCATTACAGCAATCTGTAACCCTCCTTTGGCTATGTCTACACTACCACTTATGTCAGTGTAACTTATGTTGCTCAGGGGTGTGAATAAGCCAGCCACCTGAGTGACATAAGTTATATTGACATAGGCGCTGGGGTGGGTAGCACCATGATGGTGGGAGAGCGTCTCTCATGGACATAGCTCATTGGGGGTGGATTAATTAAGATGACAGGAGAGCTTTCTCCTGTCAATTTAGAGCAGCTACACTAGAAAGCTTACAGTGGCGCAGCTGCATCTCTGCTGCTGTGTAAGCTCTCTAGTGTAGCCATAGCCGGAAGGGGGAAAACACAGATGGTGATGTGGCCAGAGGGCTGAATTATGAAGTGGATGCTACGGTTCCTGGACTGAGGCAGGTCTGCAGGAGGAGAAGGTGTAGGAGAACCACCACCAGGAGAAGGCACGCTGGCTGAAAGAGCTAATCCCCAAGACAACTCAATCACAAATTCCCATTCAGTTTTCACCCAGGTGAGTATAAGAGTGGTAGCACTTAAGCAATACTGGAACCCATTTGACATCTGTGACATGATAGAAGCATAACCGTAATTTTGTAGCTATAGGGAACTAGATTTTTTTTAAGTGATAGCTGTGAGTGTTGACCAGGACCCCACAGAAAAGCTCTAATAATGTTGTTGTTTTTTCTAAAATAAGATGGCGGGATTTATACAGTTAGGCTGCTTAGAATAGAGGAGCCTAGGCAGAATATTCATTTTTATTGTAGTAACCCTTCCCCACAGGTTCAGGGAGTGAGGATGCCACCTATTTGTATCACTAGTTATTTGATAGTACTGGATCTAACTTTATCTTCACTAATTCATTAAGATATTTGGTACTTTTATACCTATTTGCCTATGGCAATTCCATTGAGAAAAAGACCCACTACATGACAACTGGTAGATTTCCAATAGTTCTGATTTTTCCCATTTTATTTTGTAACCAGATATTGCACTGAATGTTTGAATTAGTGATTGGAGGGCTGGAATAGTAGTTTCTGGTCTGGATATGTACAAAAGTGCATTGTTTGTCTATAACATTGATTCCATGGGGGCATAAATTGATCTGTGTGCCTCGGATATCTGGATGAGCCTACATAGCTATTGCCAGGGGCTCAGGAGCCAAATCAAAAAGTAATGAGACTGCAGGCACCCCTGCCAAGTTCCATGGAAGAGGCTGAGGGTATCCAAGGTCACATTGTGATTCAAGAAGTTGGGTAAGAATATAACAGTTGGATCTAGGAAATAAATATAGGTCCAAATTTTTGTAAGGTACAAAACATATACCTCCAACCCGCTCTATGAAATCCTTTCTGCATCCAAGGCTAATATGGCTAGTGGTTTGGGGTCATATTTCACTGCTATAATATCAATAAGAAGTCAAAGGTTGTCAGAGTCCATCATGGCTCTGATAAACCCAACTTGAATTGGGAGCATGATAGAATAGAAAACCTTCTCCAATCTCACCACCAGAACTTTTGCTAATATTTTGATATCACTATTAAGTGAAATTGGCCTATACCTGGAACATAGTGTGGAATCGATTTTGACTTTTTGAGCAAATCTTAACTTCTTTATGTCTCAGTTTTCCCCTCAGTAAAATTGGAACAGTGTTTACCCGCTTAACAGGGTGTTGTCAAGTTTAACCCATTAATATTTGCAAAGCACTTTGAGATCCTCAGATGGAATGTGCTAGGGAATTGAAAATCATTATTGGTATTATTTATTTATTCCTTCCCACATTTATGACACATTGAGAGAAGTGAATATTACAAACTTTTTGAAACATCCAAACACATGATAAATTGTATATCAAAAGGACATTAACTACAATTATATATTT